CCAGTTGCCCGGCAATGCTCGTGAGTTGTTTAACAGACGACATGCCACTGTCCGTAATGTCATAGAACGCAGCTTCGGTTTGCTAAAAGGGAAGTTTCCCATGATAAAGGGGCTGATGCCAAACTACACAGTCCACTCCCAAACCGACATAGTAATAGCATGCTGTGTTCTACACAACTTTATTCGGATTCATGAGCCACTCGAAAACATGCCGCCTGAATTCAGAAACCCAGAATACGTACGCCGACATGATCCTGAAGATCGTACATTTGCTTTTATGTCCAATAATAATAACTCGAACCGCAACGTTGGTGACCAATGTGTCTTGCGTGACACGATAGCGCAAGCCTTGTGGGCGAACCGAAGATAGAACGAACATCGTTTGTATTTCTGTAACCCGAACGCACCTTTCATTCTATTAAGGACACACAAATTGATATTCCGGCCTACATTACCATCTTTTATCTTTGATGAATTATGAGTGTTGTTCTTAACCAAAAAAAAATTATAGCGTTTTTTTTTCTTAATAAAACCAAACACAACGTACAATATTCACATTCTTATATATTAAAATAAATTAAGAATAATACTTGTAAAATTGTTATAAGTAGAAAATTTGATAAAATTAATTATGTAAAACGAAAATAGTGTGGACCGTTACCACTTTATTTGCACCGGAAAATAGAGGTTGTTGTCGTTAAAATGAATTTCATCCAGGAGTGGTGGTGTATGATTTTCATTTTGTTTTCTGCTTTATGAAACTCTCTACCCTCTAGCATATACCAATGGAAAATATTTTAAATTTGGTCTTAAGATTTAACATCAGAAAACAATAGTTCATGTTATGAATTTAAATAATAATTTTGCGTACGTCATATCCAATTTCAAACCAAATAGATGACGCTATGTATGTTTTTTACATAATTTTCAATTATCAGCCGCGCATCTACCTTATAATATGTTGTTATTTTTGTTTATATCATGTAATTATTCCACTTTTATTTGTAGCCTTTTTTTACCCAGGTGGAGATTAGCATAAAAAATAATTATGTATAACCTATTGAAAAATAACGAATAATCAATACATTTAAAAATACAAAAACGACAAAATAATATACATGATACAGACATGTAGGGCATATGATCACGGGAGATATCCCTTTTCTGAAAAGGGAAAAAGCATTGCAATTTTTTGTTTTTTAAAATCATTCTTTTCATGCATTGAAATATTGTTACACGCACAGGCAACCGTGAAAAGCAAAAAAGCAATGAGACCATTCAAATTAATTTAAACCTGCAACGTTGCCTTTGTTTACATATATTAAAATTGGTCCAATTATGAATTCAAACACATAAAATTAGTCCAAACATGAAAGCCGGTGTTCGTACGCCAAATACTCTCGCACGATTAAATAGGGGAACCATCCAGTAACCGTACCTTGAAAACAACACACTCATATCCAATTAAGGTGAATAGGCATGTGATGCCCTCCACGATTCCACTTTCGTCCATAAATTCACGCGCATCACCGTGTTCCATCAACGCCTTCCCATGCGCTTTGATTATTGGAACATTGTATCGACCTCCTTCACACAATAAGATTGCTCTCGTAGTATCATTAACTTGGTGTTCGATATGCTCCCTCCAAAAATTCATCGGAATGGCCTGCAATAGTAAATACAATTAATAAAATATTTCGTTCCATTTCTTGGTTAGAAATTTAAAGTAAAACGTCATACGTACCAAACGTGCCCGTTGCACGTGCGTTTTCTTCATATCCACTAAGAAGCGATATTGGGGAGGTCGTTCAACTAATTACAAGTGAAACTTTTGACAACAAATTCATACAAACTGTTGCGCTCGAAATACAAAATGTAGCCCGCGCGAATATCTTCGGCTCGTACGAATTCGTCCCAACGATCACGAAATTCCAATCGATTTCCCACTTTCACCAACCAAACTTCATAAGTACGGTTCTTCCTAGTTTCTATTGTACAATTTATCGTGACGTGGTTTGTATACTGATGGTAGATTGACTCGGGCAGCCGCTGTATGCAAACCATATGCATTTTGTTCGATGGGGCGATATGTATTATAACAATTGTAAATGAAACTTAGGAAAGAGGTTTGTATTCATACCAAGTTCGGACTGTTTGCATCCGTAATTGTAACAACGAATGGATCAAACCTATTTGCCATCGAATGGTGTCTAAAACAAAAATGAGTGTAAATTGGAAACCAATCATTATTCATAACACTATTGAAGATAATTATCAATAAGGTTGAAATCTATTTATTAACAACCAATGATTATTCTACCTTATTAACACAATATGAAATGCAATTGGAAAACAAAATTACATAAATTGGATGAATTCTATTTATCTTTTATTAACACGAATATAAAATACCTTCTCTATAACTGTTGCCTCTTTTCATTCGCCTTCGAATTTTAAAATGGAGTAGCATTTTTAGGGAAAAAAAATGTAGAAGGTGATGTATGTAATTTTAACTGCCGGTGTTTCAAAAAATTAGCACAAAAAATATAATTATAACAACTAACATAGAATCAAACCCATTTTATACATCCTCAGTTCTTCACAACCCAACATCACCGACACTTCATCCACAAATTTGTAACCATAATAGCAGTTAAGACAAGGAACAAGAAAAGGATCACAACCTACCTCAATGATGAGCCAAAGCCGCGGTTCCGGCCGGTGCGGGAATACGGGATACGGTGGCTATTCTCCCATGAAAGAATATGTTTGTTGTGTGAGTTGAAAAGAGTGACGGGAGTAAAGGGGAGTGGGAGCCGGTACAACCACCCTTGTTAATTGCGAAATAAATGTGGTCTGTTACCACCATTTGCACACCACATTGTACACACTTGAAAATGAAAGAAAAAATATTTGAACCGACTTCCAATAAAAGTTCTTCGGTTATCGGTCAACCATTGCTCTCTTCAAATTCGGCTACATGTCATAAAAAAGTAACTCCATCTTAAAGTCCACATTTAAAATTCATTGTTAGTATTATTTACCTATACTCATTCTCGATTTATATGTACCCCAACAATATTGTCCATATTTTTTTTAATAATAACTAATATGTACCTAAATGCCCTCTTTTATTTGACATATTTTTAATCTCAAATTAGTAATACATTAATTCTCGTTTAATAATTTATTCATTTAATAGAATTGAATGAACAAAACATTCCACATCTCTTAAAAATCAACCACAATATTCACACCATTATTCTTCAAGAATTTGGTTTCTTCCACATATCTCCCCAACCGTTTTCTTCAATATTTCTAAAAAATCAACTCAACATTAACCCAAACAACAAAGATTTGAAATGATATTGAATTTTTGTTTTCAATAACGTCCTTATTTTTAATATAATTTTGATGATAAAATCGTAATCATATCTAATGATTTTAATATATAAAATTTATTTAAACAAAAAATTATGCAACAAAAGCAACATAATAAAAGATCTAAATATTCTCAACTATTTGTTTACCTATCTTTTAACAAAACGATAAATCTTGGAATATATACATAATCTTAATAACTTATATTAAGAGAAGATACCTAAAAATAGTACTGAAATCATGCACGCGTGGAATATATACATAATCTAATAAACTAGAAAAATGGAAGAATTCATTTAACTAGATCATTATTTAAGAAAAATAAAAAGTTATATATATATATATATATATATATACATATACACATATATAAACATATAAAATAACAATATAAAAGAAAAAAATATTAACTTTGAGAAAAATATTAAAAATCCGTTTAAGTTGTAACACTTATTAATAAATATTAAAAAGGAACAATAAAATGTTATTAAACGCTTGTTAATTTTTTGTTCTAATTAATTGTAAGGGTAAGTTTAAGGTGATAGACAATAGTTATTTGTACTTTTATCAATCATTATCTTCAAATTAATTTAAAATATATAGTGAATCATGATATGCCTATATACGTTGAAAATTAATTATTTTTACCAAGAATTTATATCGATATAGTACTATTACTCACCTATCTATTAATATGTATTATTACAATAAATAAACTTTATTAAAAAATGTACAAAATATCTTTTTTTAATATTTGATAATAATATTAATTAGAAAATTGTAATTATACATAATATAATATAAAGATGTACAACTACATAAATTATAATGAAAAATCCAACAGTAATAAGGTATTCCACAAAAAATACCAATAGATATTTCATTGGTATAGTTTCTATTGAAAAGATTCACTGGATATTCCAATGGTAAGTAAATTAAATTACATTGAAATTTTTGTGGATTTTTTAATATCTCAATTACTAATATTTATTTTTGTATGAATTTATGTTGGATTTTTTTTTTCGGCCATATTTCAACCATTTAAAAAATTGTCACTGAAATTGGGTAAAACAATGAAAGTTCAATTGAAAAACTAGCTGCATTGGCGAATCCAAAATAATTGCATGTTAAGAGCACTATCTAGTTAATCCAAAATAATTTCATGTTTAATAAATTACGAATATATGACTAGATTTCTACATACACTTAAAAAAGACTTAAAATATATTTTCTAAAATTAGATAAAAATTATGTTGCAAAAGAGAGATAAATATCATCAAGAATAAAAAGAAAGGAGAGAAATCAAGCGTAAAATTGTATTAGCATTTTTTTATAACTATCCAATAACTATTCACTCTGAAACCATATTATTTTTTTAAATTCTATTACCATTTTTTTTGTAATAAAACTAGAAATAATGTTCAAAGTTAATACATTGAGAATCAAAAAATATATACCTATCCATACACTGAAATAAAATTTGTACCTTTTTTAAATGCTATATTTTATTTCAATTTCAATTTTGTACTAGTACTTGTTACTCTTGAGCAAGAGGGCGTATGAAAGTCAACTTTCATACCATTTATGAGATACAGTAAATGAAATACAACAAACAATCTATGGCGGCGGAAAAATCGAGGATTGACCGACCATTTGCTTGTGTTGGGAAAACGAGAAAGTGGAAAGGTGGGAGATAGCTATTTCAAAACAGGCCTACTTCCTCCCATTCCCC